GAGTGCCGCCGCGCTTCCCAAGCGGCGCACTTATCCAGTGCGCCACCGGGCCGGCCCCATCATAGCGTTATTTTTGCATTAGATCCAAACTGTAACCAACCCAAATGTCCATCTATAGGAGAATAGACAAATAGGCTGGTAGCATCCTGTAGTGGAATACTACACAGCACTGAATATGCACAATGATACAACTACACCAGTGGCATGAATAAAGCTTGCAAAAGCAATTCTGTTCAAAACAGGCAAGACACAAAAGAACATACAACATATGATTTCATGAATACATTGGAAAACAGGCAAAACTAAACTGTATGGTTCATTGAACACACACTGCGGTGACAGTGAAGAAAGAGAAGCAAGAAAGTATCACAGAAGTCAGGACACTGGTCACTTGCGGGAGAGGGATGGAGTTTTGATCAGGAAGGGGCATAGGAAGGACCTCCGGCATGCTGGTAGTTGGTTATACTAGCTTTTACTTCATGATTATTTGTTATATGTGTTTTTCTGCATTATTTTATATTTCACAATAACAAAAGAAAATATAGCAAGACAATTGTTTAAACTTTCAGGAAAACTCCATGACAAAGGTCACAGAAAATGGGGCTGGTACCCCATTCTTTGTAGATCTGTCTTTTCGAGAGAGGCTGGGGCCAGAGGAGTGGGGCAGAACCATGGCGAGTTCCCAAAGCCCAGCATCTCCAACCCCACCTGGAAAAGAGTCAAACAGAACAGCCTCCAATGATCCAGAGGCAGACACAGACAAATACCTTGGGATCTCTCTCCTCCCCTCCTCTAACTGCAGGCCCACTGTCCATGGGCAGGGCTGGTGTGGGCCTGAGATATTCCTGATATCCAAGGCCATGGCAGGGGAGGCAGAGCAAGATGCTCACCGGCCTCCTCAGTGCTGATGGTGAGCTCCTTGCTTGGCTCGCTGCGGCCAATCTTGTTGAAGGAGTACATGCGGATGCTATACACCGATGCCGGGTGCAAGTCCACGATGTTGGCCTGGTTGATGGTGGGGGAGATGTTGCGCGTGGACTGCTTGAAGTCCCAGGAATCTGGAGGGAAGACACCCATTTCAAAGCAAAGCTGGGCCAACTCCAGGACACCAGCTCAGCCTCAAGCACCAGCGCATCCCAACCTCAATTTGGATGCCCTGAGGGCTCCAGCTCATACAGATTGCAGAGAGAGGGTACAGGCCTCAACAACTTCACAGAGAATGCAAAGGGTCTGTCCCGTGAAGCTCCAGAGGAGTGACTCTCTTCTGCCACTGGCCAGCTTGTGAGCTTAAACCTCCGATGGGTCAGACAAGAAGTTTCCCAATGTCCCTGCTAAGATCACCATTTGCCTGCATCCCTGAGGGTCTGACTGGCCAGTGCCCTTCTTCCTGGGTCTCTCATCACACTGGTAACCTGTTCTAACTATAGGTACCCCTTCTGCCCATCTAGTGGACTCTGGGCAAGGGGAGAAGCCCAGTCTTCTGTATTTCCTTTCTTTGTGCACTTGTGAGGTGGTGCTCTTGAGTGTCACATGTCAGGATTTGTGGGGGGAGGCAGACCAAGTACCAGAGTCCCCAGCACAACCCCTACCCTCTTTCCTTCACCAGCAGGAGAATGGTCTCCACATCTTTAGGGTCAGGGACCAACAAAGGGATTAGCATGTTTGTGATTTTTCCAGGAGGACTGACAGTCCATCCCAGGGCTAATGTTTAGCAAAACTGTAGAACATAAAAAAACTCAGATAAATTCCACTCAGGAATACTGTGACTGTAAACAACACCGTGCATCTCCAGAGGCATCCACTCTATATATTTTTGCTGTGTTCATACCAGGGGATTCCAGAGAAAAATAAGAAGGGTGGCAGTTATTGTAATGCCTCAGCTAGGACCTTCTAAACCCGGAATTCATAACCAGACTACTGTTTTGGTACTTCACTTTGAAAAAAAAGGAAGAGCATAAAGAAAGGAGCTGATAGCAGGGCTTAAAAATGTTCCCAGGGCATGTCCAGATGTCACTATTCAGTCTAATTTCCCATGCCTTTTACATCCACAGTAGAGTATCCTGAAAAATTCTCAATAGAAAAGATTAAATTATATTCACTACAGTTGAATTCCTAAATCAGGAAAGGAGACTAGCATATTCTAGAGAGACTTGTAAGATTTTTTAAAAAGCTAATGCTTGATAAATCAGGAAAATCACATGTCTCCAAATTCTGGTTAATTGAGGTCTTGATGCTTTTCAAAACACCACTTTTAGCTGCACAGGCTCGGCATCTGTGAAGGGCACCGGCCCAGATCCCCATCTGTAGTTTTGCATTTAATTCTTTGGTTTCATGAGCCAAAGGAACAAAATGGCAGGCTGCTGATGCTCAGAAACACATTATTTTCTCCTTGTCTTTTAAAACACCCCAGCCACCCAGAGGTCACTCTGTGGCTGCCAGGTTAAGCCAGGACCGCCACTGAGGCAGGCCCCTCCCTGCTGTGGGTGCCTCTTTGTGTATCTGGGAGGGACAGGCCAGCCACGCGGAGCAGGTGCTCACTTCCATCTGTGGCGTCCTGGGAGCTGGTGCCAGCTCACAAATCACATTTGATTTGCCCGTGTTTATAGGAGAGGGAGAGTGATCACAAATCAGTGCATTCATTTTTGATGAGTGCAGTCAGAGGGAGGAGACTCATATGATGTGTCTGAAAACAGAGGAGCCAAGGGGAAGAGGCACTAATATTTCCCGTGCACCCGGGATGTGCCAGGTGCAGTGCCAGACAATTTAAATGTTCACCATTTATGCCTCACACCATCCTCTGACACCAGTGCTGCATCTCCACGGTATAGGTGACCTCTGCATCACCAAACCCAACTTCTCCCCTGGCCTCTCGGGTGTGTTCGACACTGGGACCTCTCCCTCCTTCCTGAAACACTCGTCCCTTGGCTCCCTAATAAAGCACTCTCCGGCTTTTCACTCATCCCTCAGGTCAGTTTCTCTGCCTCTGCAGGCACATCCTCCTCTCCCTACCATGACTGGTTGAGCTCTTCCCAGTCCCCTCCTCTCCCTCCATGCCTCTATTTCCGTCTATACACAGATAACTCCCAGATGAGTGTCCAGCCTGGGCTTCTCCTCTGAACTCCACACCTGCGAGCCAACTGTTTACTTGACATCTCCTCTTGGATATTTCAAAAGCACCTCAAACTCAACATGTCCAGGGCAGAACTCTTTTTTTTTTTTTTCTTTTTGTCTTTTTTCGTGACCGGCAATGGATCGCAACCCTCAGTGTTGCGCCCATACCGGACCAGGACCGGCAACGGGATC